GAATCATGTTCATTTTCAAGAGACTGAGGTATAAGCCAGAGTATGGACCTATGCATCAGCCTCACCTGCCTATTGCCTCCCAGAAGCTACCTGGGAACATGCAGCGTCAGAAGGTTGCCTCGTGAGTACAGAAGCAGAATAGAGGGAATGAGTCCTGTGACTGAACTGTTCAATGACCTCAGCATCCTGTGTTCTGACATTGTGCCTGTGAAAAATAATTTTTATTATTATTATTTTTTGAGATGGAATCTTGCTCTGTCACCAGGCTAGAGTATAGTGGCACGATCTTGGCTCACTGAAACCTCTACCTCCCGGGTTCAAGCGATTCTCCTGCCTCAGTCTCCCGATTAACTGGGACTACAGGCACGCGCCACCATGCTTAGCTAACTTTTGTATTTTAAGTAGAGACGGAGTTTCACCATGTTGGCTAGGATGGTCTCCATCTCTTGACCTTGTGATCCGCTCACCTCAGCCTCCCAAAGTGCTGGGATTACAGGCATGAGCCACCACGCTGCCCACATTTTTATTTTATTTTATTTTTGAGATGGAGTTTGGCTCTTGTTGCCCAGGCTGGAGTGCAATGGTGTGATCTCGGCTCACTGCAACCTCCGCCTCCTGGGATCAAGCTATTGTCCTGCCTTAGCCTCCCGAGTAGCTAGGATTACAGGCATGTGCCACCATGCCTGACTAATTTTTTGTATTTTTAGTAGAGACAGGGTTTCTCCATGTTAGTCAGGCTGGTCTCAAACTCCTGACCTCATGATCCGCCCACCTCGGCCTCCCAAAGTGCTGGGATTACAGGCATGAGCCACCGCACCTGGCCTTTATTTTTTATTTTTTAGACTGAGTTTCACCATTGTTGCCCAGGCTGGAGCGCAATGGCATGATCTCGGCTGATCACAACCTCTGACTCCCAGGTTCAAGTGATTCTTCTGCCTCAGCCTCTGGAGTAGCTGGGATTACAGGCATGCGCCACCTCGCCTGGCTAATTTTGTATTTTTTTAAGTAGAGATGGGGTTTCTCCATGTTGGTCAGGCTGGGCTTGTACTCCCAACCTCAGGTGATCTGCCCACCTCGGCCTCCCGAAGTGCTGGGATTACAGGTGTGAACCACTGCACCCAGCACATTTTTATTTTATTTTTAAATACAGGGTCTTAGTCTATTGCCTAGGCCGGAGTGCAATGGTGCAATCATGTCTCACTGCAGCTTCGAATTACTGGGTTCAAATGATCCTTCCACCTCAACCTCTTGAGTAGCTGAGACTACAGGTGTGCACCACTACTCCTGGCTCATTTTATTTTTAATTTTAATTTTGTAGAGACAGGGTCTGGTTATGTTGCTCAGGTTAGTCTCAAACTCCAGTGATCCTCCTGCCTCGCCCTCCCAAAGTGCTAGGATTACAGGCATGAGCCACCTCACCCACGACACATTTTTTTTTTCTGTATCTGACACCAAGTGTTTGTTGTTCTACAGAGTAGGTCAGACCCTCTGGATAGGATCTCCCTGACTGAGTGGTTTCTTCAGGCTGGCCCATTCTGTCTCTAGATTTATTAATGATTCAGTGAAGTGTCTGTTGATCTAGTTGCCCTGGAAATCATGCCTTGTGTTTGAGACGACATTTCATATCCCTACTGTCTGATTCACCATTCAGTCATTTACAAATATGAACACTTCTGTGTCCAATAAATGGAGGATACAGTAGAGAGACGTTTCAGTGGAAGAGATACAGATATTAACATGTAAACGAGTGAAAAAATGAGATTACTTCAAATGGTGATAAATGCTATGAAGTTTCCGGCAGGGTAACGAGACTGAGTATGAGATGGAGGATGGTGTGGGGCTGTTGGAAGGGTGGGCTGGGGATGTCCCTCTGAGGATGGAGAATCTGAACCGATCCCTACATGTGAGGAACGAGCCAGTGATGGTCTTAGGAGGTTTTTTTTTTTGAGACGGAGTTTCGCTCTTGTTACCCAGGCTGGAGTGCAATGGCGCGATCTCGGCTCACCGCAACCTCCGCCTCCTGGGTTCAGGCAATTCTCCTGCCTCAGCCTCCTGAGCAGCTGGGATTACAGGCACGCGCCACCATGCCCAGCTAATTTTTTGTAGTTTTAGTAGAGACGGGGTTTCACCATGTTGACCAGGATGGTCTCGATCTCTTGACCTCGTGATCCACCCGCCTCGGCCTCCCAAAGTGCTGGGATTACAGGCTTGAGCCACCGCGCCCGGCGGTCTTAAGAGTTTGTTCTCAGAGGAAGGAACTCTTCCACTCACACACCTTGTGAAGTGGAAGTTCATTGCTTGTCTCCAGACAGACAATGGTATCAATTAGGCAGGAATGGTTGCTGTGGCGTTGCGGGTATTGGGGCTTAAGTACATGACGATTAAATGGTAATGCGGCTGTGTTTCCAACAAAAATTCCCAACACATCGTCTTACAGGTAGCGTGAGGACTGGAAATATTTGAAATCAGGGTTATCTTGCACTTTCCAAGGCACGTGATTACCATAATTAACAGGCTACAGAGGGCTGGCTTGACCCCACATTGTTGGTGTGGAAACTGCTCCCAGTTTCTAAAAAGCCAAGTAACAGGTGAATTTCTGGAATAAAATCACTTGCCTTTTGGAACCATATTTATTTTCCCCAACAACATTACATGTTCTTTCCTCAGCAAAAAGTCTGGGTTTTACACATTTTTGAATTCCTCAAAGCATTTAGCAGAATCTTGAGCATACAGAAGACAGCAGGGTCCCGTGGCTCTGCCTGAAACGCGGAGCCCGGTCTTGACTTTGGAGTGACTGAGCCCTCTTGGGGTCGCACTCTGGCCGGGCGTGCCAAGCGGCGGTTCTCCTCCCTCCCGCCGCACGGGGGCGCAATGGGAAGCCCGCGCAGTGAGGAAGAGAGGCTGGAGCCGGTCTTGCGCCGGGGGGAGCGCTGCTCCCAGAATGCACCTGGCATCAACACGGCGGCGGCGGTGGCTTCCAGCAGGCTCCGGGGGCACCGAGCGGACTGGCACGCAGCCCGGGGACTCTGAGGCGGGGTGCAGGTGTTGAGGGGCGACTGGAGCCATGGCGGAGTCGGCGCCTGCTCGGGTAAGAGGCTCCGACGCGCGGGCTCGAGGGCGCGTTGGGGAAGGCGGAGTCCCCTGCCCGGGGCGGAGCTTCGCGGTTTGGACGCAGCCGGGGTTTTGGTTTCCCCGGGCTGCCGCTGGTGCGGGTGAACTGGGACCCTTCTCCCCGCGACCCCAGTGTTCTGCCCTTTTTTTTCTCCTCCGCTTCCTTCCTCGGGGGTGTCGGAGCCTCAGCCCCTTGCGCCTTTGCCCAGAAACTTCTTCGAAGCTTGTTCTATGTTGTCGGATTTGTTACCCTGTCCACACATTTTCTCTTTCGTGCTGAAAGAGAGCCCTTTCCCGGGTTGGAGCGGTGACGCAGGTTGGAAACGGTCTCCGTCGCCACGAGTGAGCTCTCCAGCTGCTCCAGAGACCGCTGGACTTGCCTGTCCGCGACCACTCCTCGTTGGTCCGATGTATTGCCCGTTTCTTCCGTGCCGCGGATTGCTCTCCTGGAGTTGCAGCCACAGGTTGAAGTCAGCCTGGGCTTCCTCTCTTTGGGGACGCGCGTTACCTACAGTGTAGTTGCTGCATTTTGTTTATAGACCTGTCCAAACTCTCTCCTTCACTCCCCCTTCTCCCGACCTTCCCCATTCTGGAAATGTCAAGATACGGAGCTTGTCGTGGGGAGAATCCTAGCTGTTAAGTCACGAAGCGAGTTCAGCCGTAATTCAGCTCTCAGCTATCCACTTGGGTGATTTTAGGCAACTGTGTTTGCCTCTCTGGGTCTCTGTTTTGTTTTCCTAACTGTGAATCGGGAGTGTTGCAGTAGTTGCTAGATCTCTAAGGTTCCTTCCAGCTCCGATATTCTCATACTATTCCAAAGTAGTGGTTAATTTAATCACACCAGAGGGTTTGCAACGGAAAGGGCAGCTGGAACTGAATTGATTTTTAGTGAAGTGTTCCTTGGTCCAGAAACACTTTGAGAATCATGTTAGATCTTTGTGTGAATGGAGGGCTAAGGAGAGTCTGTGGTGAAAACTTCACCATGACCAGGATGCACTGTATTTGATTTTTGTAGCAAGTGGGTGAAGAACTAAAAAGGGAGGGATTGGAAGACTTAGAGAACACAGTGTTTGCTTTCAAGGAAGTTAACAGTTGAATTGGGAAGACAAGACACAAATGTTTACAATATTTACTTCATCTGCCTCCTGTAAGCTAGGCCGAGTGAGTCAAAGACCTGGCTTTTCCACAAGGCCTAGTTCGTGTTAGAGTCGGGCAAGAGGACTCTGCCACAGTTCTTCCTGCCAGGTCACTCCACAGTTACCTACAGGTCATCAGTAGACCTTGTTAGGAAGAAGCCTTAAAGGTCCATCACAATCCCCAACTATGCCTTAAATAATGTGAATTTGTCATTGTAGAACTTACTCAAATTGTTCTTGAGCCTGTTTCTATTCTCTGACGTCTCTTCAGGTGAGGATTCTGTGCCTCTTGTTTGGCAGGCCAAGTAGGTGCTCTGAAAAAACAAGTAAAAATGCTGGAAACCCCCCCACATAAATGCATTTGAAATGTATTTTAGTAAAGAATACTTGGAGCCCCAAAACTAAGTGAAAGAGGGAACTCGAAAGTGATAGAGTTCTCAAGCCAACTTTGAGGGCAAAGTTGCTGAACATTCATCTTTGGTGTTTATGACTCAAGGGACCTACAAAATAGAACACAACTCTTAGAGCCTAAGAATTAGAATTAGAAAATTAGAGCCTAAGACGGAAAGTCTAAGAAGCTCCCTAACCCAATCCCGTGAAGCAGAGACTTCAAAGGGCAACATTCTGTGTAAGTGAACTGAAAGTTAAGGTCTGACCTTCAGATGATTGCAAAGAAAACTGTTAAACCTTGGCAGTGAGAGATGGACATGAGGTGCCCCTTGAGAATTCACAGTTACCCTTATGTGTGTTTGTTACTGAATTCATACTGCTTGGATGTTCAAGGAACCTGAAGCCAAGAATTTAGTTTAAAGTAAAGCCCTCAGCTCTCTATCCAAAATAAACACGAGTCTTTTCTGGAGGAATCTACATGTAACTCAGGCTTCTCATAGATAATGTGAGTTCCTGATAAAAAATTACTGGCCGGGCACAGTGGCTCATGCCTGTAATTCCAGCACATAGGGAGGCCTAGGCAGGTGGATCACTTGAGGTCAGGAGACGAGCCTGGTCAGTATGGTGAAACCCCATCTCTACTAAAAATAGAAAAATTAGCTGGATGTGGTAGCGCAAACCTGTAATCCCAGCTCCTCAGGAGGCTGAGGCAGGAGAATCTCATGAACCCAGGAAGCAAATGTTGCAGTGAGCCAAGATTGTGCCACTGTGCTCCAGCCTGGGCGACAGAGCAAGACTCTTGTCTCAGTAAAAATAAAATAAATAATGGACAACTCAACTTTTCAGATATTAGAGTTATTGAACACAATATAAAATAACCATGTTTAGTATATTTAAAGATTAAAAAAAGGAGGGAAAATATGAATAAAGGCCAAGAGACTATAAAGATGACCAAACAGATTTGAAAAAGAATCAAATAGAATATCCAAGAATGGAAAACATAATTAACATTGAGAAGTCAGTAGTAAGCTTTACTTAGCATGTTAGACATGCAAAGAGAGAAATAGGCAACTGGGTGGTGGAGGTAAATAAATTATCCAGAAAGCAGCACAGAGTTTAAAAAATGGAAAAGAAGGTAAGAGATAGGGAAGATGGAATGAGAAAGTCTAATAGTCATCTAATTAAAATTCCAGAGGGAAAACACACAGTCTGGAGTCTGTATTTCTTGAGTAGCTGATGGTTGATGATATTGTAGGGCTGATACAAATACCAATACATAGAAACTCAGTGGACTCCAATCAGGACAAACAAAAAGAAATCTTTACCTAGACACATAGTGGCAAAAATACGGAGTACAAGGCAGAGGGATTTTTTTTTTTTTTTTTTTTTTTTTTGAGGCGGAGTCCTGCCATGTTGCCCAGGCTGGAGTGCAATGGCGCAATCTCGGCTCACTGCAACCCCCGCCCCCCGGGTTGAGGTGATTCTCCTGTTTCAGTCTCTCGAGTAGCTGGGATTACAGATGCGCACCACCACGCCTGGCTAATTTTTTGTATTTTAGTGGAGACGGGGTTTCGCCATGTTGCCCAGTCTGGTCTCAAACTCCTGAGCTCAGGTAATACACCAGCCTCGGCTTCCCAAAGTGCTGAGATTACGGGCATGAGCCACTGTGCACGGACTTTTTTTCTTTTCTTTTCTTTTTGAGACAGAGCCTTGCTCTGTTGCCCTGGCTTGAGTGCAGTGGAGCAATCTTGGCTCACTGAAACCTCTGCCTCCTGGATTCTAAGCGATTCCCCTGCCTCAGCCTCCAGAGGAGCTGGGATTACAGGCACGTGTCACCTTGCCCAGCTAATGTTGTATTTTTAGTAGAGATAGGGTTTTACCATGTTGACTGGGCTGGTCTCAAACTTCTGATCACAGGTGATTCACCCGCCTCAACCTCCCAAAGTGCTGGAATTACAGGCATGAGCCACCGCACCTGGCCTAAGGCAGAGGGCATTCTTAAAAGCAACCAGAGAAAAAAGACTACCTTGAAATGAAGTACAGTAAAACTAATGGGCACCAGCTTCTCAACAGCAACCAGGGGAGCCAGACAACAGGAGAATCATATTGTCAGTAGGCTGAAAGAAAGTAACTATAATCCCAGAGTTTTATATGCAGCAAAAATATGTTTCAGAAACAAAGATACAATGAAGACATTTTCAGACAAATTAAAAATGACAGTCTGCTACCAGTACAGTCTTAGTAAAGGAAATTCTAAAAGATGTACCTCAGGTAAAATGAAAATTATCCCAAATAGAAAGTAAAGTCTGAGAAGATGTGTTGATGCATGAAAATGATTAAATGTGACTGAGCATGGTGGCTCACATCTATAATCCCAGCACTTTGGGAGGCTGAGGCGGGTGAATTACAAGGTCAGGAGTTCAAGACCAGCCTGGCCAAGATGGTGAAACCCCGTCTCTACTAAAAAAAAAAAAAAAAAAAAAAGCACAAAAATGAGCCGGGCGTGGTGGCAGGTGCCTGTAATCCCAGCTACTCGGGAGGCTGAGGCAGGAGAATTGCTTGAACCTGGGGGGTGGAGGTTGCAGTGAGCTGAGATTGCGCCACTGCACTCCAGCCTGGATAACAGTGAGACTCTATCACAAAAAAAAAAAAAAAAAAAAAAAGAAAATGGTTAAATATAGAGAAATGACTTAATGAAACAATAACAATTTTTTTTATGTTGAAAACAATTAAAATACATTATGGCATTGATGTAAATGTTAGGAATAGATGGTCAGAATTAAAGTGTTTAAAAGTCTTTGTTAAAGGGCCTTCTGTGTATGTTTTCCATAATTTCTAGGATACTTGCTAAAAGACTAGAAATTGTCTGTATAACTTACAAATTAGAAACGAGGATAATAGAACAAGAAAAAAATTAATGTGAAAGAAGGCAAGAAAGTAGAGAAGCAAGATGAAGTAAATAGCACAAAAAAGGTAAAAATAAATCAAAATGAATGAACAATTACAATAAATGTAAATGAATGAAATGTTCAAGTTAAAAGGCAGAGATTATCAGGATGGGGGGAAAATCCAGCTAGTTGGTTTAAAAGAGGTACAACTAAAAGATAAATATACAAAAACAGTTGAATATAAAAGGACATGAAAAAAATATACCAAGCAAATACTAATCAAAAGAAAGTTGGCTTAAATATATATAATATCTCTAGAGATAGAAGGCTACTACTACTTTTGTAATGCTAAAAGACTCAATTTACCAGCTAGATACAAAGTTTCTAAACCTATATGCACCTAATTACACAGCCTCAAAATATATAAAACAAAATTGACGGACCTACAATACAGATTCACTATTATAATAGGAGATTTGAACATAACCTTAGTATTTTATCAAAGAGAAAAGAATTATAAGGGTGTAGTACATCCAGTAGAACTTTCCAAGATATTAGAAATGTTCCACTCTGCACTGTTTAATACAATAGCAACTTGTCACATGTGGCTTTTGAGTACTTGAAATGCTAGTTAGTGTGATGGAGGAACTGAGTTTTTAATTTAATTTTTTTTTTGAGACAGAGTCTCACTGTCACTCAGGCTGGAGTGCAGTGGCATGATCTTGGCTCACTGCAACCTCTGCTTCCAGGTTAGAGTGATTCTCCTACCTCAGCCTCCCAACTAGCTGGGATTACAGTTGTGTGCCACCACATCTGGCTAATTTTTGTATTTTTAGTAGAGACAGGGTTTCATCATGTTGGCCAGGCTGGTCTTGAACTTCTGACCTCAAGTGATCCACCTACCTTGGCCTCCCAAAGGGCTTGGGGTTACAGGCATGAGCCACTGCACCCAGCCAATTTTATTTAATTTTAACCAGCCCTATGTTACTAGTGGCTATTACATTAGAAGCACAGGTATAGAAATGATTATTTTTTATCCATAGATCTATCAGTATGTAATATCAATGTGTGGAGACAAAATGAAAACAAAGAGAAGAGGCAAAAAAAACCCAACCTATTAGGAATGAAAATGTGTACCTTCACATGTCTATTGGTTGATGGTGGCATGTAGACTGAGACCATAGGTAAGGCTGTTGAACAGAACACCTCCTGCACCCTCTTCATGTGGCTTGGGATTTCTCAAGGGATTCCAGCACCTGGCTGCCTGTGATTTGCTTCACTTGACAGAGTGTGGAGCAGCGATACACTCCATGCCCTACCCTCCTTTAATTGCAGATTGATGTGGAAAGTAGATGATGATGTTTTCAGCCACTAAATTTGGGGATTATTTGTTATAGGAGTGGGTGATTGGAATAGATACCTAGGGAATATGTTAAAACATTGAAAGATGTTAAGAATGGAGTCTCAAAGTCTGGGCATGGTGGCCGGTGCCTGTAATCCTAGAACTTTGGGAGGCTGAGGTGGGCGGATCATTTGAGGTCAAGTTTGAGATCAGCCTGGCCAACATAGTGAAATCCTGTCTCTACTAAAAATGCAAAAAATTAACCAGGCATGGTAGCATACACCTGTAATCCCAGCTACTTGGGAGACTGAGGCAGGAGAATCGCTTGGACCTGGGAGACAGAGGTTGCAGTAAGCTCTGCACTCCAGCCTGCAGTCTGGGCGACAGAACAAGAGACTCCATCTAAAAAAAAAAAAAAAAAAAAAAAAAAAGATTCACATACTATGTTTATGAATTGAAACATTTCATCCTAAAGATGTCAGTTCTCTGTTAGGTGGGGTGACTCATGCCTGTAATACCAGCACTTTTGGTGGTTTAGGCAGGAGGCTTGCTAGAGCCCAGGAGTTCGAGTTTGCAGTCACGTATAATTGTGTCACTGCCCTCCAGCCTGGGCCACAGAGTGAGACCCACCGTGTCTTTATTTATTTATTTGAGACTTGAGACAGAATCTCTCTTTGTCACTGGAGGCAAGTGGTATGATCATGGCTCACTACAGCCTCAGTCTCCTGGGCTCAAGCAATCCTCCCACTTTAGTTTCCTGAGTGGCCGGAACTATAGGCACATATCATCATGCCTGGCTAATTTTCTTGTCTTTTTGTAGAGATGAGATTTCACATCACTACAAAAGAGATCTTTCATCTTGCCCAGGCCGGTCTTGAACTCCTGGACCCAAGCTGTCCTCCCTGCTCAGCCTCCCAAAATGCTGGGATTACAGAACGTTAGCCACTGTGCCCAGCCATAGATTCTGCAAGTGGGATTGCTAGATAAAAGGGTTTTTAATGACTTGAAATTTTTCTTCCCCTATGAGTGTGTAGTATTTTTCATTCCTTCTAGGAGTATTATGAGTGTCAGTTTACTATATTATAGTCAGCTCTGAATGTTATTCTTTGTCTCTGTTTCATGGGAGTGAAAGTGGTTTCACTTAGTTATATTTGGAGTCCTGATTGTCAGGTGGTTGTGTTTTCATTTGTTTATTGACTGCCTGTATTTCCACTTTCATGAATGATTTATAGTCTGCAGGTTTATTTTGGGGTTATTTATCTTTTTCCACTTTATATTCTGTTTACAAATATTCTCTCCTTGTTTTTAGACTTTGTTTATGGTATCTTTTATTACAGCTAGCATTTTCTCCTTGCTTTGACATTCTAAGACCTGTTTATTAAGATACTATTTACAGTAAAATTTACTCTTTAAGCACATAGTTCAGCAAATTTTGACAAATGTGTAGCCAGCATATTACCAAGATAGAGAATATTTCCATCATCCAAAAAAGTTATCTCATATCCCTTTATAATCAGTCTTTTTCTGTTAACCCTAGGTTTTGGCAGCCACTGATCTGCTTTCTGTTCCTATAGTTTACCTTTTTCCAAACATGTAATTAAAACACAAAGGTAGCCTTTTGTGTCAGAATTCTTTTTTTATTTTTTTGAGATGAAGTTTCCCTCTTGTTGCCCAGGCTGGAGTGCAGTGGTGTGATCCTGGCTCACTGCATCCTCTGCCTCCTGGGTTCAATAGAGTCCCCTGCCTTAGCCTCCCGAGTAGCTGGGATCACAGGCGTGCGCCACCACGCCCAGCTACTTTTGTATATTTAGTAGGGACAGGGATTTTCCATGTTGGTCGGGCTGGTCTCCAACTCCTGACCTCAGGTGATCTGCCTGCCTCGGCCTAAGAAAGTGCTGGGATTACAGGCGTGAGCGACTGTACCTGGCCCCCCCTTTTTTTTATAAAGTGGTCTCACTCTGTCACTCAGGGTGGAGTGCAGTGGTGCGATCATGGCTCACTGCAACCTTGAACTCCAGGGCTCAAGTAATCCTCCTATCCTCAGCCTCCCAAGTAGCTGGGACTACAGGCATATGCTCTCACGCCTGGCTCATTTAAAAAAGTTTGTGGAGGTGGGGGGGGGTCTCACTTTATTACCCAGGCTGGTCTTGAACTCCTGGGCTCAAGTGATCTTTCCACTTCGGCCTCCCAAAGTGTTGGGATTATAGGTATGAGCTACTGTGCCTGACCTGTGTCTGATTCCCATCACTTAGCATGTTGTAATACATATCATTGATTTTGGTTCCTTTTTATTGCATAACAGTAGACTTGGTAGTCGAAATAGTAGTCTACTCCTAAGTAGTAGGCTTAGTAGTCTGCTAAGCTGTATATATAAAATAAGCTAAACATATAATATGCTATATAATAAAGTCTGTTACAGTGTATCAGTTTCCTAGGGCTGGTGTAACAAACTGAGAAGCTTAAATAACAGAAATTTATTATCTCACAGTTGTGGAGGTTAGGAGTCTGAAATCAGGATGTTTGCAGGGTTGGTTCCTTATGAGGTTTGTTCTTCTCTCCTGGCTTCTGGTGGTGCCATGTGTTTTCTTGGTTTGTGGCAGCATGACTCCAGTCTCTGCGTTAATCTTGACATGGCCATTGTCTTAGTCTATTATGTATTGGTGTAACAGAATACCTGAGGCTAGGTAATTCATGAAGAAAAGAAGTTTGCTCATGCCTGTAATCCCAGCACTCTGGGAGGTCTCCTCTTTCCTTTCTGTGGCTCAGCATTCTGTGCTTACTAGCACTTTTTCCTGACAGGAACATAGGTCAGAATCTGTTCAAAGGATTGATCCCCCTCCTCCTCCATAGTAAAAGGTTGAAAACAATGGTTAAACTAAGTTTCTTAGTTCAGTGTTGGACCAGTCAGTTTCCTTTTGTCCCATGTTTCTCTTGCCCACGACCCCTGGCCCCAGCAGCTCTTTCGGAGATACTTCCTCTCAGTGTCTTGGTCTTGCTCTTGCTGGCCTCACTGTGGTTAGAGAAGCAGCCTTGAATAAAGTGTGCACCATGGAAGACTATGAGTTTTGTAGAGGGGCTAGGACTGACGTGAACGTGCAGGGAGACAGCGGGGGCAGCTTGGGGAAGTCTTCCCCAGTGTTGGTTTCAGTAATTGTAGCTTCAATGACAGTGATTTTCCTACTGTCAGAGACAGCTCATTAAAGTGAAAATTATAAGGAAAATGTCAGTAGACTTAGTCACATCATTTCAGTAAATATTTTTTAAGGATTTATTCACTATCCCAGCTGCTAGAGTGCAAAGATGAATGAATTAGGTCTTGTAGGTCCTGCTAAGGAATTTTGTCTTTATTGTGGGAAGCCATTGAAAGGTTTTCAATGGGTGACATGATCAACTATGAAGTCTGGCAGGGATGTGCAGGCAAGATAAGATGTAAATGATATCTTTTATCATATTGTCCAAAACATTAAATCAAAATAGGTTTAAAAATGAACACTGATACAGGAGTCTCATAGAATATGCTAAGCATAAAACATAGATAACAAAACATACACACTATAATTTCACTTTTGTTCAAAAAAATAAACTAAAACATGAGAAAAGCTTATAGGTAGGAAATACACCAAAATTCAAGCAGCTTTTTTTTTTTTTTTGGAGATGGGGTCTTACTCTGTTACCCAGGCCGGAGTGCAATCTTGGCTCACTGCAGCCTCAACTTCCTCCTGGGCTCAAGCCATCCTCCCACCTTAGCCCCCAAGGACCTGGGACCACAGGCATGTACCACCATGCCTGGCTAATTTTTTTGTATTTTTTTGGAGAGACAGGGTTTGCCTTGTTGGCCAGGCTGGTGTCAAACTCTTGAGCTAAAGTGATTCAGCTGCCTTGGCCTCCCAAAGTGCTGGGATTACAGATGTAAACAACTGCGCCTAGCCCTAACAGCTTATTTCTGTGTGAGAATACTTTGTGTGATATTTTGTTTCTATTCTTTGGCATTTTCCCGACATTATTATTAATACAATGTCTACATGTAATTTTTAGTATAAATAAAAGACATGCTTTTTTTGTTAAAGAAGAAACTAGATAGCTTTGAGCGCTGATACATTGAATGTTGCTTTCTTTACTTGATGTTTGGAAGTGACACTGTCTGACTCTGTGTCTTTGATCCTTCAGCACAGGAGAAAACGACGCTCCACACCTTTAACTTCTTCCACACTTCCTTCACAAGCAACAGAGAAAAGCTCCTATTTTCAGACCACCGAGATCTCACTGTGGACGGTAGTGGCTGCTATTCAGGCCGTGGAGAAGAAGATGGAGTCCCAGGCTGCCCGGCTACAGAGCCTGGAGGGACGCACGGGGACAGCTGAGAAGAAGCTGGCTGACTGCGAGAAGATGGCCGTGGAGTTCGGGAACCAGCTGGAGGGCAAGTGGGCTGTGCTGGGGACCCTGCTGCAGGAGTACGGGCTGCTGCAGAGGCGGCTGGAGAACGTGGAGAACCTGCTGCGTAACAGGAACTTCTGGATCCTGCGGCTGCCCCCGGGCAGCAAGGGGGAGGCCCCCAAGGTAGTCTCATTGAGAATTAAAAGTTAGGAGAGAAGGGGGAGCCCAGCCCTTTAATATCTAAGGACCTCAGTTGCTGACTCTTCTGTCATAGCTGTGAGTAGAGTCACTCACGGTGTGCCATTGGTGATTCCAGGTGTCCAGGTCACTGGAGAATGATGGCGTCTGTTTCACTGAGCAGGAATGGGAGAATCTGGAGGATTGGCAGAAGGAGCTCTACAGAAACGTGATGGAGAGTAACTATGAGACGCTGGTCTCTCTGAGTGAGTAGCAGTTTTCTCCTTAGAATTCTGTCTCTGCCATATTACGATTCCTGGCCAGTAGCTTGTGAGTCAGACTACACCTGTGGCACTTGTGGCTGTGGTTCCACAAGAGCCGTGGGTTGTTGGCTTGCACAGGTGGAGAAATGGAAGTCTCTAGGTCTTCCCATTTACAGAGACTTTCGGAAAGCTGTCAGCATTGTGCCTTTTGTGTTTCTTTTCTGTGGTCACATAGTCTGTTCTTGACAATATTTTCTTTTTCTTTCTCTTTTCTTTTTCTTCTTTCTTTCAAGGTGGAGTCTTGCTCTGTCGCTCAGGCTGGAGTGCAATGGCATGATCTTGGCTTACTGCAACAATCTCCACCTCCCAGGCTCAAGTGATTCTCCTACCTCAGCCTCTTGAATAGCTGGGATTACAGGCATGCCACACCACACCTGGCTAATTTTTTGTGATTTTTGGTAGAGATGGGGTGTCACCATGTTGGCCAGGCTGGTCTTAAACTGCTGGCTTCAAGTGATCTGCCCGCCTCAGCCTCCCAAAGTGTTGGGATTACAGGCATGAGCCACTGTGGCTGGCAATAGTATTTTCTAATAAATGAGGTGTTACATACACTACAGTGTGATATGGCTAGGGTTCCTCATGCCGCTTTTAAATTTATTTTGTTTTGTCATTTTTTTTTTTGAGTCTGTCACCTAGGCTGGAGTGCAGTGGCACGATCTTGACAGTCTGGGCTCAAATGATCCCCCATCTCAGCTTCCCAAGTAGCTGGGATTACAGGCACATACCACTGTGCCTGGCGAATTTTTTAATTTTTTTTGTAGAGACGTAGGTCTCACTATGTTGCTCAGACTGGTCTTGAACTCCTGGGCTCAAGTGATCCACCCCCTTGGCCTCCCAAAGTATGGGAATTAAAGGCGTGAGCCACCGTACCTGACCCCTCATGCTGTTTTTAATATTTAAGACTACTTGAGATAGGTGTGGTAGCTCACATCTGTAATCCCAACACTTTGGGAGGCCAAGGTGGGAGGATAGCTGAGGCTAGGAGTTCGAAACCAGCCTGGACAACATAGTAAGATCTCTGTTGCTTAAAAAAAAAAGATGATCTGACAAGAAAACCTATGTTACCTTGGATGAGGCAGGCAGTACAGGCTGATCAAAAGCTTTTTCTTGATTTTCTTGGCATTTGGCCAGAATTAAAGCTGGTCATTGTCGTCTCAATGACTATTTCTTATTGATTAGAAGTGCTGCTTAATAGGTATACATCTTTTTTTTTTTTTTTTTGAGATGGAGCTTTGCTTTTGTTGCCCCGACTGGAGTGCAGTGGTGCGATTTCAGCTCACTGCAACCTCCGCCTCCTGGGTTCAAGGGATCCTCCTGCCTCAGCTTCCCGAGATTACAGGTGCCCACCACCATGCCCAGCTAATTTTTTTTTTTGTTTGTATTTTTAGTAGAGACGGACTTTTACCATATTGGCCGGGCTAGTCTTGAACTCCTGACCTCAGGTGATCTGCCCCCGCCTCGGCCTTCCAAAGTGCTGGGATCACTGGCATAAGCCACCATATCTGGCCAGATATAAATCTTTATATGCAAAATGTTACCTATTACATAATAAATGCATTTTGTTTGGTAGACAAAAGTCTTTTAAAACCTAGCTACATGGAGAAGTGTCAAGAAGGCCATGTGGCTGGGCACAGTGGCTCATGCCTGTAATCCCAGCACTTTGGGAGGCCAATGTGGGTGGATAGCCTGAGGTCAGGAGTTTGAGAACAGCCTGGCCCGGTCAACATGGTGAAACCCCGTCTCTACTAAAAATACAAAAATTAGCTGATTGTGGTGGTATGCATCTGTAATCCCAGCTACTCGGGAGGCTGAGGCAGGAGAATTGCTTGAACCTGGGAGGCGGAGGTTGCAGTGAGATGAGATCACACCACAGCCCCCCATCCTGGTGACAGAGCAAGACTCTTATCTGAAAAAACAAACAAACAAAAAAATTAAACAAAAAACAAAGGCTGTTGTGCCTAGAGCAGAGTAAGAGGTAAAGGAAGTAGAAAATGGGCCAGAAAGTGACCTCGTAAGCTTGGTTGGGTCTCATGCTCTAATTGTGACTATTTCCTTGTCTGTCCCAGTGCCTATCTTACCTTGTAGTGCTTTAGCAAGGATGAAATTAGATTCCCTGAAAGGAGGAAGCATTGGCAAGACTTAAGCTGCATGCATATGGAGAGGCAGTGGTGGGTGGTGGTGCTGTCGAGGGCAGCAGTGGCTCTGTAGCCTGCCTGCTTGAGCCACAGGCCCTCTAAATGAGGAGCACTGGAGGCAGCAGCCAGCCAAATGAGTCATTAGGATTGGCCAGAATTTTATAATTGTCCCAAACTGCTAGGGGAAACTGACAAGAACAGTAGCATTTGAATCTGTTGAAGTTTCAGCATTTCCTCCCTGCCATTGATCACCTTGGTCATTGGCAGCTGATGAGTGTGCAGTGAGCTTTTGCTCTCTCCTGGGCTCACACTGTGCTGTTTCCCACCCAGAGGTCCTTGGCCAGCCAGAGGGAGAAGCAGAGTTGGGTACAGAGATGCTGGGTGACTTGGAGGAGGAAGGTCCTGGTGGTGCCCACCCAGGTGAGTGGCATATTCTGGAATATTCTGTTCCCCTCCCATAGCCCTCTGCAGCCTAGAGTGAGCTTTCCCACTGCTGAACTGTCAGATGCTGACTTGGCAACTTCATCTGGCATTTGTTCGTTCTGGACTTCTTTATGATTGTCGTTAGTTCAGCTGTTATATGTTCCTCAACTCCTACCACCCTCTGGGGTCTTTAAGACTAATGCCACATCACTCTTCTTCATGCCCTACACAATAGACCACCGTACTAGGCTGTAGTCAAAACCTGCTGGAGATTGAGCTTGGGCACGTCAGAGCTTCAGGAGGGAAGGCAGTGCAGGAAAAGCGCTTGTCAGTGGGTCATTTGGGAGATTATGGAGGAAGAACAGAGCTGGATACATGAATTTTTAAGCTGCCGGTTTAGTTTGTCTTTAGTCATTCAAATTTGTTATTTTAACACTCTTATTATAGTTGTTACAGTGTATTCTGTCATTTTTCACCGGGATTAAATAAAAATTTGTAGACAAGGCTGGAGAACTATCATTTACAGTATTGTTTTATAAGAGTAATACATTCATATTTCTAGTCAACATTGGAAAAACTATACATGAATATAGTTTTATGTGAGTCTGGGAACCTAGCCAGTGTCGTCATCCTTGTTGTCCTAATTCACTTATTCCTGGGGTGCTTCTGAAATTCACGGATGTTTGTTCCTGAAGAAACCAAGGGTACTAGAATGTGATCTTTTTTGTTGGTCTTCCTGTTTGCAGCAGGTGGGGTCATGATCAAACAGGAGCTACAGTATACACAGGAAGGCCCTGCGGATCTTCCTGGAGAGTTCTCGTGCATTGCTGAAGAGCAGGCTTTCCTGAGCCCGGAGCAGACTGAGCTCTGGGGTGGTCAGGGCGGTTCTGTCCTCTTGGAAACAAGTCCTGGGGACTCTACTCTAGAGAAGCCTGTTTGTAGTAGAGATCCTAGCAGCGGCAGAACTGTGGGCTGCCCGAAGCAGAAATCTCATAGGCAGGTACAGCTGGGCCAGGAATGTGGGCAGGGCCTGAAGCTGAAAAAGGACACTTCCCGCCCCTATGAATGTTCTGAGTGTGAGATCACCTTCCGCTATAAGCAACAGCTGGCCACACATCTGCGCAGCCACTCGGGGTGGGAGTCTTGTACACCTGAGGAGCCAGTGGAGAGCCTTAGGTCCAGGCCACGGCTGAAACCGCAGACCCAAAAGGCTAAGCTGCATCAGTGTGATGTGTGCCTGAGGAGCTTCAGCTGCAGGGTGAGCCTGGTGACCCATCAGCGTTGCCACCTGCAGGAGGGGCCCAGTGCCAGCCAACATGTCCAGGAGAGGTTCTCACCCAACAGCCTGGTTGCCCTGCCTGGCCACATCCCTTGGAGGAAAAGCCGGAGTTCCCTCATCTGTGGGTACTGTGGCAAGAGCTTCAGTCACCCGTCTGATCTGGTGCGGCACCAGCGCATCCACACGGGCGAGCGGCCCTATAGCTGCACCGAGTGTGAGAAGAGCTTTGTCCAGAAGCAGCACCTCCTGCAGCACCAGAAGATCCACCAGCGGGAGCGGGGCGGGGAGCCCGGAAGGCCCAATGGACTGCTTTAAGGGTGCAGCCCCTCGCCCGTCCGGGGGGCGGAGGGGGGTGGCATTGGTCCCCCCGAAGAGACTGCAGAGTCAGGAACTGACTTCTTCCTGAGGGCAGTTGTTTCTGATTTGTCTTCCCTTGTCCCAGTACCAAGTCAAGCCCAGAGGCTGTCCTGAAAACCCTGTGGAAGAAGAGTCCAGGCCAGGTCTTTACCTTGCTGCTGAGTTTGCTGTTTCTTGGCACCTTCAGGTCTCTGGTTTTCTCATTCATGCTGATGCTTGTGGGCTGGGGTTGCCGTTCCGACCCCACAGGGACTGGTGGCTGGTTCCAGGGCTTGTCCCGGCATTTCATGTCTTCCCACAGGGTTGAGTCGGGTCATAGGGGTGAGCAGCTGCCTGGAAGAGTTTTGGAAAGTATAACCCTCCGTTTTTTCTTGTTTTGTAATCTCTGTTAATAACAAGTAGAAGTAATAATTTAAATGAGCTGCTTACCCTGCTCTGAAGAACCTTTTTTGGAATTAGATTTTAGTTGATTTTTTAGAGAACACAGCCCAATACTTGTTTTTTACATTTTAAGAGTTGTAGAAGTTGTTCCTAACATGGGGACTGGGCCTACCCTCTAGGAGGGAATTGTTAATGGGGCTCTTTTAGCCCACCGATGCTTACTTAGGCCAGAGGCAGGGGACACAGTGCTAGGTTCCCTTATGGGGTGCTTGTCTCAAAAGGACCAAGAGGAAAAGAGTCGGAGGGATAGACCCCGCAGCCCCTGCTGAGAAGAAAGATGCTAGTGAAGAGGCCGATGGTGTGGCTGTGGTCTGGGACTTGCAGTGTCTCAGCATGCGCCTCTCCTCTTCCCACCTCCTCCTTGCTGTGTTCTGCAGCCTCCCAGAGTAGAAGACTACTTTGTTACTTAAGGTTGTTCACCTTGTACCAGTGGTTGAGTTTGTTCCTATTACACCAATCCTTACTTGAGGTGGTTCAGATTATAGTTTCCAAATTCATTCTGGGATTGACTATTCCAGAGAAGGTAGAGAAAAAGCACACAGATGTTTGTCTCAGGAGTGTTGAATGTGTGCCCCGCTGCTGTGTGGGGGGATGGGAGTGGGCTCTGGGGTCATTTGTGAAAATCCCCTTGGATGATTTGCCGTTGCCTAGAATAAAACTTGTACTAGAAAAAAAAAAAAAAAAAAGTTCATACTAGATGTTTTTCTTCGTTTGTCGAAACATTCTCCTGGGGCCAAGTTAGAGAAGAGGCACCTGACCTGCAGTCATGACAGGGAAGGACTAATGGCACAGCCTAACTTGCAGTTTTATTAAACCTAGGACAGAAGACAAGAATACTCAGTGGTCAGAATATTCAGGGGACCGTACTTAACGATGGCGGAGAGCTGGAGACAGTCTGGGTAATGGCTATTGGGAAGTAGAAAGGGTAGGTGGAATGTGGGTACCCCAAGGAGTGCCAGGCAGCTGTTATGAACATTGGCTTAGATATGTGTGTAGCCATCTGGATCCATTGAAATACAATGCTGAGGGGAAAAGGTAAGAAACTGAGATCTATAATATAACATCATTTATATAAATTAAAAATGCATGCACACAAAACATTTTGTAAGAACACTTAAGACCGAAGGTGATGTGTCAAAGACATTACAGTTTTCCATGGGGAGGGTGAACAAATAAATAGAAGGAAATTGTTCACTATAAGGCAGAGGTCCCTAACCTTTTTTGGCACCAGGACTGGTTTCGTAGAAGACAATTTTTCCATGGACAGGAGGTGATGGGATGGTTTTGGAATAAAACCGATCATCAGGCATTAGATTCTCATAAGGAATGCACAGCCTAGATCCCTTGCATGCATAGTTCACAGTAGGATTCATTCTCCTATGGGAATCTAATGCTGCTGCTGATCTGACAGGAGGCAGAGCTCACCTGCTGTGTGGCTTGGTTCCTAACAGTCCACAGACCAGTACTGATCCATAGCCCAGGGGTTGGGGCCCCCTGCTATAAGGTATGGGATTGTCTTGTTATAGAAACTGAATGTGGAAGGAGTCATCGTAGGGCTGGCGCTGTGCAAGGTGGTAGCTTCATCAGGAAAACCTTCAGAGTTTCTTTCCTAAGTTTCTTCTGCAGTCTTTCCTTTTCCTTAAGCCATTGCCTTACAGATAACCCCTCTGTCCATCCTGTCCTTAGTTATTCTTACTTCCTGGTTGTTGAGCGTTTTAATGTGACCAGCCTTGGGCCTTGCATAGTGGGAAAAAGCCAAGCACAGAATATGGTCCTGCTTCTCCAATAAAGTTAGGTTTTCCTTGAGGCTTGGAAATAATTGTATCAAGCAATTGGACTCCTGCTTGTTGAATACTTGTGTGCTAGACACTATTTATTTCCATGAAAACAAATCCTCATGCAGTTTTGCTTGGTGAGTATGATTTTACCTCGTTTTCCATATGTGATGTGGGAGGAGACCTGAGAAGTGAAGTAAGATGGCAGAGGTGATGTAAACCCCGGCTATCTTGCTTCAGAGCCACTCACTCGGCTGTGGGGTGCTATTGCTTCTGCAGTTAAGAACTCGGTGTCAAAGCTGGATTCTACGTCCCGAAGTGTGGGCTCTGCTGGTGGCAGCAGCATCCCCTAGGAGTGTGATGGTGCAGACTCCGGCTCCCCCGAATCATAATCAGTGTCTCGAGCTCTCCAGGTTATTCTGTGCATGCAGAGGCACTGTCCTAAGGAATACGAAAGACTCGCCTCTTCTTGCCTGCTTCTGCCATCCTTCATTGAAAGCCTGTTCTGCTGGGTGCTGAGGAGAAAACAGGAAATGGACGGTCAGAAGGACAGGGATGATCAAGTTAGACAAATTGAAGTCAACACAGGGAAGAGTTAAATATCAAATGTAAGTGACTCTCACCTATCCTGCCTTTTCTATCCTTCCTGTTCCCACAGTTAGGTGCTAGTCGTCATTCACCCGAGCTTTTCAGTAACCAGTAGGTCTTCTGCTCTTAATCACATCCTTTTTGATTCCAGAGTTAATGTCCTTGCACACTACTGGATGTAGACTTTCCTCAAAACCTTGCAGTGGCTTTCAGCAGCTGCCGATAATGAGCAGTCTTTAGTATAGAACTCAAGACCCTGACAACCTGCCCCACTCTGCATTTTTTATCCTTTCACTCTATGCTGCTACAACCTTGGACTTCCTGTCATTCATTATTTTTATTTTTATTTTTATTTTTTTAATTTTGAGACAGGGTCTCACTGTGTTGCCCAGGCTGAGTGTGCCATCATGGCTCACTGCAGCCTTGACCTCTTGGGCTCAATGGATCCTCCCATCACAGCCTCCCGAGTAGCTTGCACTACAGGTGGCACCAACCATACCCAGGTGATTTTTTTGTAACTTTTGTAGACACAGGGTCCCACTCTGTTGCCCAGGCTGGTCTCGAACTCCTAGGCTCAAGCAATCCTCCTCCCTCAGCCTCCCAAAGTGCTGGGATTACAGCTGTGAACCACCACGTCCAGCCTTCTGTCTTACTGAATAAACCATGGTCCCTCTCTCTTTCTGTAATTTTTCACTGTTTAGGTTGATAAGCCCCTTCTGTGAAAGCTTCCCTTATCCGTTTCTTTCATTGAACAAATACATACTGAGCCCCTATTATCTAGGCACTCTTAAATACACATCAATGAACAAAATGAAGATCTTTGCCCTCAATGAATTTATGTTCTTTCAAAATCAGTTTTCTTCCTTTACTGCACCTTTGCGAGCCCTTTCCTAGACGAGCACAGTATTCCATTTTGCCTTACAGTTTGTTCACTCACAGATGTCTGAATATCCTCCCTGTGCAGAATTCTACAGAGGTGGGTACACGGATAAATCTTGCTCTTGGACTTACTGGCTGCTAAAGGGATAGAATAGTAATGTCTTCAGATTAAGTGAGGGGAAAAGGCTATAAGAATTCATAGAACAATGATTTTAGATCTGAGACATTGGGGAAGGCTTTGTGATAGGTGGTATTTTAACCACCTTTTAAGGATGGGAGGAAGGACATTCTAAATGGACACAACATGACCAAGTCAGGAGACATGATGGGGCAGGTACAGAAGAAGAGTTCATCCAATTTGGGGAGGGTGGGGTGTGAGAAGAGAGCAATGAGTGTTAGGATTGGGTCAGGCTTCAAGGAGTCTGGATTTTATTGAGTTGGTAATGGGGAGCTGAAGAATTTTGAGCAAAAGAGTAATCTGATTCTAGGTGTGATTTGGGAATACTAAGAATTATACTGTGACTTTTTTGGGGGGTTGGGGTGTGGGGTATGTTAAAAGGTTCCGAGTGAGACCAAGGAAGAGCCAGTGAGGACCTACCTGACTGACTGGGTGCAGCTGCAGTGGGAAGGAAGCAACAGACAAGACCAAGAAACAGTCACAAGATGTGATGTTGTGCAAAGGAGGGACCACGTGTGAATCCTGTCAGCCTCCACAGCTCTCAGCACAGATGCTTGGCACACAGGTGCTCAGCAAAAGTTTGTTGAATGAGCAAGTACAATAGGAAGCTCAGAGTGGTCTGAAATAGGGAAGGCTTCTATGGAGGAAGGGGAAGGGGAACTTGGTTGTACTCTTGGTCTCCCTATACTAATGCTTCCATTCCTAACATCTTTTTTTTTTTTTGAGACAGGGTCTGACTCTGTCTCCCAAGCTGGAATATAGTGGCATGATCTCTGCTCACTGCAACCTCTGCCTCCCAGGTTCAAGTGATTTTCCTGCCTCAGCCTCCGCAGTAGCTGGGATTACAGGCACATGCCATCACACCTGGCTAATTTTTTGTATTTTTAGTAGAGACAAGGTTTCACCATGTTCACCAGGCTGGTCTAGAACTCCTGATCTCAAGTGATCTACCTGCCTCGGCCTCCCATAGTGCTTGGATTACAGGTGTGAGCTACTGTTCCTGGCCCCTAACATCTTTATAATTCTGTGTGGGTCCACTTCCTAATCTAAATTACATTCCTGGATTGCAGGATGAGGAAGCCACAGGAATTCTGTCTCTGCTGCCCGTCTCTTGGCTGAGGATGTTCTGGTGGCGACAGTGGCACTTGTGTGCTGACCTCCTGTTGAGTGATGCTAGGTGTTACTTTGGTGGCCCCCAAACTGTGAGAACCCCACCTGCAGCGGAGGCTGATGACTGGCTGTTTCAGAGTGACTTGCACCTTGGTGGAGTCCCACTTGTTATTCCACGGGCTGGGGCTCCACTGGATGTTGTCAATTCACCCAGAGATACTCAGGTCCTGGAAATCTGGTCCCCCAAAAAGCAAACTCATGGAGACAGATTAATAATTAAAGATGAATGTAGGCCGGGTGCAGTGGCTCATGCTTGTAATCCCAGCACTTTGGGAGGCCAATGTGGGTGGATAGCCTGAGGTCAGGAGTTTGAGAACAGCCTGGCACGTTCTGCAATGGCATGATCTCAGATCACTGCAACCTCTGCTTCCCAGGTTCAAGTGATTCTCCTGCCTCAGACTCCTGAGTAGTTGGGATTACAGACTCCTGCCACCATGCCCAGCTAATTTTTTGTATTTTTAGTAGAGACGGGGTTTCACCATGTTGGCCAGCCTGATCTCGAACTCCTGACCTCAGGTGATCCATCTGCCTCAGCCTCCCGAAGTGCTGGGAGTACAGGCCTGAGCCACTGCACCCGGCTTGTTTTCCTGACCCTTTCTGTTTGCATTGGACCTTAACTGTTATTTTATAATCCTTAATAGATTGGGCTGATCCCTGATGAGATCTTAGATGCTCTTAATGTCTTTAGTGCATATTTGCAGTTTGTGGCTTAGGTTGGGATGTCTCTTCTTTTTTCTTTTTTTAATGAGACCCACTCTCACTCTGTCACCCAGGCTGGAGTGCAGTGGTACGATCTGGGCTCACTGCAACCTCCACCTCCCAGGTTCAAGCGATTTTCTTGCCTCATCTCCGGAGCAGCTGAGACGCGCGCCACCACACCCAGCTAATTTTTGTGTTTTTAGTAGAGACGGGGTTTCACCGTGTTGACCAGGATAGTCTTGATCTGCTGACCTCATGATCCACCCGTCTCCACCTTCCAAAGTACTGGGATTACAGGTGTGAGTCACCGTGCCCGGCCAGGTTGGGATATTTCAACAAGAATTTCCAAAATGAATAATGACAAATATTGATTTGATTTGTTACCTTAAAGTAACATGTCCTAACCTTTCCCCAAATTCTAGGGGTGCCCCTCACTTAGGGTCTCAGTTTGTCTTTTTTCTATGATAGCCGACTACACTTTTGCTTGGCCCAAATATTTGTGAAAATAATTTCTCATCCCCCTAAAAAAGAAAAAGCTAAAACAAAAACAAAAACAAAAAAACCCTGAACAAACCCAAACGCAGAAAGAACAAAATTACAGATTTCTAGCGGGAAGAGTTTGCCAGCTTGTTGGACAAAGACTGTGAGATGAATGGGAAATGCAGAAAAGAGAAAACAAAGCTTCAGCTGCATACAGCACATTTAGTTGAATATGCCTCAGCACAAGCGGAGGAAAATGGGCCCTGCGGTTTATTCAAGACGCCTCAGGGCCTAAACGAGGGAAAGACTGATTCACACTTGCCGTGTCCTGGACCAAGGCTAAGGTAGGATCCTCGTGGGTGGCTGAGGGCTTTCATCGGCGGGCCCCGGGGGAAGAAGGGACCCTAGAGACCCCAGGAGGGGAGGCCGGGCTTAGGAAAAAAAAATCCTACAATCTTCAAGTTTGTTCTGTAAAACTTTTAAAAGAGAGTTAAAAACGTTCATTTAAGTTTCCCTGGCTTCTCCCTGAGTACCCATGTACCCTTTTTTCTTTCCCCGACTCATAGTTCTGTGGTGCGTGGGAGGCGCTGCAACAGGAGGCCCCGGCCAGGGCCAGCCCCCTTCCCCACGCAGCTTTCCCTCGCCAGGTTTCGCGCTTTCCCGCGCCGCTCCTTCCCGCATCCCTCCCGGCTCCCGTGTGGGACGCGGAAAGGGGTTGGGCGCCGCGCCTGCCCCGGAGTGGCTTCCGCCTGATGGAGCCCTGCTGGAGGCCGCGGCACTCTGGGCGGGTGAAGGTGGGCGGCCCAACCTGGGTCCCGGACGCCGCGGGCGCTATAGGCCGCGGGCTGCGGTCCTCGGGCTGCAGGGGGCGCTGCGCGCGTCCTCGGGCACGGCCGCCGAGCGCAGCTCTTTTTTAAAGGGCCAGCGGGGCATGTGGTTTGTCACGGCCGCCAGGCAGGAGCTCCCACCCTCGGCGGCTCCCGCTCCGCTTCTGCCGTCGCCGCCGCGCCGTCCCTGGCCCGACAGGCCGGGTCCAGGCACTGCAGCCCCGCGAGGGACGCGGGCAGCCATGGCCGAAGCGGCGCCCGCCCTGGTAAGCGCCCTGGTAAGGCCGGGCGGACTCCAGGACGGCCCAGGCCGCCGCCGCGTGAGCCCGCGCGAGGGACTCTGGCCGCGCGCGGCCGCCTGGCGAAAGGGCCCTGCCCGCAGTCTCCACGCTCGCCGCCCCCGGCCCATCGCCCGACCCGCGTCAGGGCTCGAGGTCTGCCTGCCGCCTGCCCGCCGGCCTCCAATGGCATTGACCGGGCGGCCCAAACGCCAGGCCCGGCGGGCGAGGCCCCGACGTCAGCGACGGAGGACCCGGTCGGTCCCTCTGCGGCCTCTGCCAGGCCCGGCGCCAGAGTCACGCTCGGCGACAAGGAGGCCGCGCCTCGGATGCATTGTCGCATTTGCGGCTCCGTGGCTCCCCCACGGCAGGCAGGGCAGGCAGGGGCCGTCGGCCGCACCGGACATTCGGACATTCGCGGAGGCTGAGATGGGATGGGACTGGCCCAGGGTCACTCACCTAGCAGAGGCGGGAGCCTCACGCCGGGGCAGGGACTTTGCAATTAGACCGCTTTAAAAACGCCTTATATTCTGCTTTTATCTAAGAGAAACATATTAATTGTTGTTTACAAGAGAGATTACAGAGTAAAAAAAAAAGATTACTGGAGCAGATTTTATTTTAAAATTTCATTTTATTTTACTTTTTGAGAGTCTTGCTCTGTCGCCCAGGCTGGAGTGCAGTGGCATGATCTCGGCTCACTGCACCCCCTGCCTCCCGGGTTCAAGCGATTCTCCTGCCTCAGCCTCCCAAGTAGCTGGGACTACAGGTGCCCACTACCACACCTGGCTAATTTTTGTATTTTTAGTAGAGACGGGGTTTCATTATGTTAGCCGGGCTGGTCTCGAACTCCTGACCTTGTGATCTGCCTAACTTGGCCTCCCAAAGTGCTGAGATTACAGGTGTGAGCCGCCGTGTTTGGCCATTTTAAAATTAAAAAATTATATATATATGTATATTATATATATATTTTTTCAGACAGGGTCTCACTCTGTCACCCAGGCTGGAGTGCAGTGACATGATCTCGGGTTACTGCAACCTCTGCCTCCCAGGTTCAAGTGATTCTCTTGCCTCAGACTCCCAAGTAGCCGGGGTTATGGGTGTGGGTGCCTGGCTACTTTACATATCAATATATACATACACACACACACACATATATATTTATATATATATACACACATGTATACATACACACACACACACACACACACACACACACATATATATATATATTTTTTTTTTTTTGGTATAGATGGGGTTTCAGCATGTTGGCCAGGCTGGTCTTGAACTCCTGACCTCAAGTGATCCACCTGCCTTGGCCTCCCAAAGTGCTGGGATTACAGGCGTGAGTCACCAAGAATGGCTTGTTTTGTTTTTTATTTGTGCCATGTTGTTCAGGCAGGTCTTGAACTCCTGGGCTCAAGTGAACTTTCTGCTTCCGCCTCCCAAAGTGCTGGAATTACAAGGGTGAGCCACCAAGCTAGGTCAGTTTAGCAGATTTTAGAATGTTGGCTTGATATTGTGCAGCATGTCCAATTGGGAGAATATAGTCCTTTGGGTATTTTTGACGTATTGGAAAAACACATGTAAAGAGCTCAATAGATGATACCTACAATTATTAATACACCTCACTGAAGGTTTTGAAACCTTGATTTTTCTGGATGCTTTTATTAAAGTAGAACTTCCTCTCCCTCCTCTTTAGTTAGTGAGTGTGGTGAACATCTTTTTGGGTTCCCTGAGTGTAAGGGAGAGAAAAAGCGTTGGGGATTCTGGAGGTTTATAGCCCTGTTCCCTGGGAAGAGGGGGCCCTGGAAGGTGACATCAGCTGCTCCGCCTAGCCTGGGTCTCGCTGCTTCACTACCTTTCTGATCATTTCTGTCCACCTGCTCCTTTCCCGAGCCTTGCAGCATTTGAGATCCAAGAAACTCCCCAAAAGGGACAGATTTGTTCTGGACTTGTTAGCCCATCCTATCACACTGTTATTTGTAAGTATTCCTATGCAGAATTTTTCTCCTGGAGAAGGAAGAACCACACCAGTTTTTTCTGCATCTTCATTGTACATTTACTGTGATAGGTGTTCAGTAATTGTTATTGAATGACTGAAGAGATTATAGATTATTAGTGCTAAGAAGGAAGAGCAGTGAAAGCCTCTAGGATGCGGTGTCTAAGCTAGAATTTTAAAGACGAGTTAAAGACGAGAGGGACTCAGACATGCAGAGGATGCATAGTGAGAGCTGATGTGAAGGTGGAGGAGGGCTGGGTGGGCCCTCAGAATCCACAGGAGGCTGGCATGGCTGTAGCCTGGCATGAACTGGATCACTCTAAAGTCAAGAGAGGTCAGCTGGGCCATGAAGAAGTCTAGATCTTATGCTAGGTACACGGGGAAGCTATTGAGTTTTAAGCAGGGGACTGAAATGATCTGTGTGTGTGTGTGTGTGTGTGTGTGACAGAGTCTCGCTCCATGGCCCAGACTGAAGTGCAGTGGTGCGATCTCGGCTCACTGCAGCCTTCACCTCCTGTGTTCAAGTGATTCTCCTGCCTCAGCCTCCTGAATAGCTGAGATTACAGGCATGTATCACCACGCCTGACTAATTTTTTGTATTTTTAGTAGAGAGGGGTGTCACCATGCTGGCTAGGCTGTTCTCGAACTCTGAACTTCATGATCTGCCTGCCTCAGCCTTGCAAAGTGCTGGGATTACAAGGGTAAACCACTGTGCCTGGCCAGTGTTCTTAAAAGATTACCACTCATTCTGTGGAAAGTGTATTGTTCGGGAGAAGGCTGGAGGTGGGGAAATCAGGTGGGTGGGACCTCAGTGACTCAGGCCACGCAAGGTAATGGGGACTTGGACTAGACACTGGCAGTGAAGAAGGAGAAACGTGGATGGATTTGAGGTAATTTTGAGGTTAGGACCCAGTGGTGATTTAACTATGATGGATGAATGAAATGGAGGGATGAGATGTTGATTTGCATCTCCAGCAAGGCTTTTAGGAGCACCAGCCAGGACTGGGCCGTTGCAGGTGCACAGTGAGGGCTTGTGAATCAGTCACCAGGGTCAGCTGAGGCACCTGAGAAGCTTTTTCCAAGGCACTAAAGGACAATGGAATCAAAGAGGTGGTGGTAAAAAAGGCCATTTGAACTATATACCATATCCCTGAGCCAGAACTGTCACCGTCATCAACATCATTGTCTGAGTCTGCTCAGGCTGCCTTCCTTAGTTCCTGGAAAGGGCTCTTGTCCTGATTTGCAGATGGCTGCCTTCTCATCGTATCCCCACATGGCAGACAACAAGATCATCTCCCCTGTGTCTCTTCTTACAAGGGCACTAATCCTATTTATGAGGGCTCTACCTTCATGGCCTAATTGCCTCCTAGGTGCTCCACCCCCAAATACCAGCACAGTGGGGATTAATGCTTCAGCAGATGGATATTGAGGAAGACACAAACATTCATTCCATAACCATCATCATCATCATCTTAGCCCTTCAACATGGGGCTCACGTTTATTATTCATAGTGTGGTACACATTGTACTAAGTGTGTTGTACCCTAGAAGGGGAGTCACTTGTTTGAGACTTGCTCAAGACTGTGGGGCATGCCCCATCCCCAGAGCTAGTATATAGGACAGGGGCGGGGCTGTGTTTCCTCCAGTTTCCCGCTTGCTGACACATTGGTCCAGCCACGATCACTCATATCACTTAGGCTGGATTCCTAACTGATACCCTAGCCTCTCCATCTACCCTGGTCTTCTGCTAACTCAGGATCCCAGATGGAGCTTTACCATGGCAGGTGCCGTTTCTGAAGGTTCTTTTTGAGATGGAAGTTTTGATTGTGTGATTCTCATAATATCTCTTTTTTCTTATGAGCAGGCCCCTGCGAAAGGCAAACACACAGAGGACCAGAGGCCTTCGGCACCTCCCTTACCCCAGCCAGCTGCTGAGAAGAATTCGTACCTCTACTCCACAGAGATCACACTGTGGACAGTGGTGGCTGCCATTCAGGCCTTGGAGAAGAAGGTGGATTCCTGCCTGGCCCGCTTGCTGACTCTGGAGGGGCGCACGGGGACAGCCGAGAAGAAGCTGGCTGACTGTGAGAAGACAGCCATGGAGTTCGGGAACCAGCTGGAGGGCAAGTGGGCCGTGCTGGGGACCCTGCTGCAGGAGTACGGGCTGCTGCAGAGGCGGCTGGAGAACGTGGAGAACCTGCTGCGCAACAGGAACTTCTGGATTCTGCGGCTGCCCCCGGGCAGCAAGGGGGAGGCCCCCAAGGTAGCCCTGGGGCGCCCTGGGGTGTGGGAGCCTGGGGGTCTGAGCCTGTGAGCGTGTGGGTGAATGAGTGCGACACTTGTGGTTCCAGGTGCCCGTGACCTTTGATGATGTGGCCGTGTATTTCTCCGAGCAGGAGTGGGGCAAGCTGGAGGACTGGCAGAAGGAGCTCTACAAGCATGTGATGAGGGGCAACTACGAGACGCTGGTCTCCCTGGGTAAGGCCGCAGAGGGAGGCTCTGGGCCTCTGTGCACAGGTTGTGTGTGGACAGTCTGTCTTCACTTTGGTTTTTGGCACTTGGGCCATCTCTGCATCTCTGTGGGCATCTGGGATCCAGCTCTTCTGCATTTCCTTTTCTGTGCACAGATTATGCCATCTCCAAACCGGACATCCTCACCCAGATAGAGAGGGGAGAGGAGCCTTGTCCTGACCAGTGGAGCCAGAAGAAGGGGAGTGAAGTAGAGGTGGCACATTCAAGGATGTTGGGCACTGGTGAGTATAGGAGCAAGATGTGGTGGGGCGCCAGGGGCCAGCTGCACCACGGCCCATCCTCTGGGGCTTCCCAGACAATCAGGGAGGCCAAGAAGGGAGCATAGGCCGTTAACCCAAAGTGGGGCCACTCTGTACCAGGCCACCCTGGGCAGGAGTGGCTGGCAGGCTGAAAGCCATAGTGTTTCTACATATATCTGAGGTGGACCGTCACATTCACCTTACACGGTTGTGTTGACTGAGTGACAAATGCTAAGCATGTAACACTGATCACTTTGTCATAGTGGGGTCTTAGTAATAATAATACCTCCACCAGCAGCACTACTGCCTCCTGGCGTCTTCAGGTGTGTCTATGTCCCTGATATTGCTTCTGCCCCCCATTGCAGTCCCACAGCCCCAGCCTGCAGCAGGAAGGCCTGTCATGTGCTTCTTCCATTTGCCTACATGGGCCCTCAGTAGGAGCGCCAGGCATGCCCTGTCCTTGTAGCTGCTGTATAAGACAGTGGTTCCAAAGGACTGCACATCACAATTCTCTGGGGGCTTTTTTTTTTTTTCAATTAAATTTAAAAAAATAAAGTAGAATAGTACAGTGAATCTCCAAGTGATTGTCACCATACCCAACACTGTTCTGGGTTTGCCACATTCACTTCATCCATCTGTTTTTTTCCCTTTTTCTAAACATGACCACAATACCATGGTCATACCGGAGGAATATCAGAATGTCATTTAATACCTAGTCTTCGTTTTGTTTTCCCCAGTTGTCTCAAAAATGTTTTCGATAGGGCTTTGGATCCTAACTGTTATATACCCAAGTCCACATTTTACTTTTGGTTTATGTCTCTGAAGTCTTTAAAAAAACATGAAAAATCCCCTCACTCTTTTTCAACAACTTTATTGAGATATAATTCATATACCATATAATTCACCTATTAAAGTATACAATTAAATACTTTTTTAAAAGTTTCAACTTTTATTTTGGATCCAGGCATACACATGCGGGTTTGTCACATGGGTATATTGCACTAGGTAGTGAGCACAGTACCCAAGTGAGTCCTTCAGTCCATGCTCCCCTCTCTCCCTTACCCTGTAGTAGTCCACAGTGTCTATTTTTCCCAGGTTGATGTCAATGTGTGCTCATTGTTTAGGCCCTAGTTATAAGTGAGGACATGCAATATTTGGTTTTCTGTTCTTGCATTAGTTCACTTAGGATGATGGCCTCCAGCTTCATGTTGCTGCAAAAGAACATGATTTCATTCTTTTTTATGGCTATGTAGTATTCCATGGTATATATGTACCACATTTTCTTTATCCAGGTTGAGCCCACGTCTTTACCATTATGAATAGCATTGTGATGAACATATGTGTGCATGTATAGTTTGGTATAACGATCTATTTTCCTTTGGGTATATACCCAGTAATAGGATTGCTGGGTCAAATGGTAGCTCTGTTGTAAGTCCTTTGAGAAATCGTCAAATTGCTTTCCACAATGGCTGAACTCATTTTACATTCCCATCAACAGTGTACAGGCATTCCCTTTCTTCTGCAGCCTCGCCAGCATGTGATGGTTTTTAGTAATAGCTATTCTGACTGGTGTGAGATGGTATCTCATGGTTTTGATTTACATTTCTCTGATGATTAGTGAGGGTGAGCATTTTTTCATGTTTCTTGGCCGCTTGCATGTCTTTTTTTGAGAAATGGCTGTTCATGTCCTTGGCCCATTTTTTGCTTGTTGGTTTAAGTTCCTCATAGATGCTGGATGTTTGACCTTTGTCAGGTGCATAGTTTGCAAATATTTTCTCCCATTCTGTAGGTTGTCAGTTTACTCTGTTAATAGTTTCTTTTGCTGTGTAGAAGCTCTTTAGTTTAATTAGGTCCCACTTGTCAATGTTTGTTTTTGTTGCAGTTGCTTTTGAGGGCTTAGCCAGACATTCTTTGGCAAGGGTAATGTCAAGGAGAGTATTTCCTAGGTTTTATTCTAGAATTTTTAAAAAAATAATTTATTTATTTTACTTTAGGTGCGTACTATATCTGGCATTTCTCCCCATGTTATCCCTCCCCACCCCCCCACCCCCCATTGTCTCTCCTCTACCCCCCCCAACTGTCCCGTGTGTGATGCTCCTCTCCCTGAGTTCATGTGTTCTCGTTGTTCAACACCCACCTATGAGTGAGAACATGCGGTGTTTGGTTTTCTGTTCTTGGGTCAGTTTGCTGAGAATGATGGTTTCCAGATTCATCCAAGTCCCAACAAAGGACAGGAACTCATCGTTTCTTTATGGCTGTGTAGTATTCCATGGTGTATATGTATCACATTTTCTTTGTCCAGTCTATCATCAATGGGCATTTGGGTTGGTTCCAGGTCTTTGCTATTGTACACAGGGCTGCAGTGAATATACATGTGCACGTATCTTTATTTTATTTATTTATTTATTGTTTTTGAGACGGAGTTTCACTCTTGTTACCCAGGCTGGAGTGCAATGGCGTGATCTCGGCTCACCGCAACCTCCGCCTCCTGGGTTCAGGCAATTCTCCTGCCTCAGCCTCCCGAGTAGCTGGGATTACAGGCACGCGCCACCATGCCCAGCTAATGTTTTTTTTTGTATTTTTAGTAGAGACGGGGTTTCACCATGTTGACCCGGATGGTCTCGATCTCTTGACCTCATGATCCACCCGCCTTGGCCTCCCAAAGTGCTGGGATTACAGGCTTGAGCCACCGCGCCCAGCTGCACGTATCTTTATAGTAGAATGATTTATAGTTCTTTGGGTATATACCCAACAGTGGGATTGCTGGGTCAAATGGAATTTGAGATCTTACATTTAAATCTTCAATCATTCTTGAGTTACTTTTCGTATATGGTGAAAGGTAAGGGTCTAGCTTCATTCTTCTGCACGTGTCTAGCCAGTTATCCCAACACCATTTATTGAATACGGAGTCTTTTCCCCATTGCTTTTTTTTTGGTCAGTCTTGTCTAAGATCAGATGGTTGTAAGTGTGTGACTTTATTTCTGACTTTTCTATTAGTCTGTGCATCTGTTTTTGTACCAGCACCATGCTGTTGTGGTTACTACAGCCTTATAGTATAGTTTGAAGTTGGGTAGTGTGATAATTTTGGCTTTGTTCTTTTTGCTTAGGATTGCTTTGGCTTTTCTGGCTCTTTTGGTTTCTTATGAATTTTAGAATTGTTTATTCTTATTCTGTGAAGAATGATATGAATAGTTTGATAAGAATCACATTGAGTCTATAAATTGCTTTGGGCAGTATGGCCATTTTAACAATATTGTTTCTTCCCATCCATGAGCATGGGATGTTTTAAAATTTATCTGTGTCATCTCTGATTTCTTTCAACAGTGTTTTATAGTTCTCCTTGTAGAGGTCTTTCACCTTTGTGGTTAGCTGTATTCCTGGGTATTTAATTTTTTTGTAGCTATTGTAAATGAGACTGTGTTCTTGATTAGACTCTCAGCCTGGTATTATTCTTGTATGGAAATGCTACTTATTTTTGTACACTAATTTTGTATCCTGAAACCTCACTAAAATTGTTCATCAGTTCCAGTAGCCTTTTGACAGAGTTTTTAGGGTTTTCTAGGTATAAAATCATTGTTAACAAGGAGAGATAATTTAACTTCTTTTCCTATTTGGATGCCTTTTATTTCTTTCTCTTATTTTATTGCTCTGGCTAGGACTTCCTATAATTGAATGGTGTTTAGTATATTCACAAAGTTATGCAGCCATCACTACAATGTAATTTTAGACCTTTCCTGTTCCATCAGAAAGAAACCCTATACCTATTAGTAGTCACTGTCTGTTCCTCATTCCTCTGCCCACCTGTTGCCCTGCCCCAGGCAGCCACTGATCAGCTTTCTGTGTCTATGCATTTACCCATCTGGAAACTCCATAAAAATGGAATCATGCAATATGTGGCATTTGTGCCTGCCTTCTTTCACTGAGCATAATGCTTTCAAGGTTCATCCACATGTAGTATGTATGAGTACTTCATTCCTGTTTGTGGCTGAGTGATATTCCATCATAAAGATACATCACATAGAGGCCGGGTGCGGTGGCTCAAGCCTGTAATCCCAGCACTTTGGGAGGCCGAGGCGGGTGGATCACGAGGTCAAGAGATCAAGACCATCCGGGTCAACATGGTGGAACCCCGTCTCTACTAAAAATACAAAAAATTAGCTGGGCATGGTGGCGCGTGCCTGTAATCCCAGCTACTCAGGAGGCTGAGGCAGGAGAATTGCCTGAACCCAGGAGGCGGAGGTTGCGGTGAGCCGAGATCACGCCATTGCACTCCAGCCTGGGTAACAAGAGTGAGACTCCGCCTCAAAAAAAAAAAAAAAAAAAGATACATCACATATTGTTTATTCCTTTATCAGTTGATAAATTCCCCCCACCCCCCAATTTATTTATTTATTTATTTGTTTTTGAGACAGGGTCTTACTCTGTCACCCAGGCTGGAATGCAGTGGCATGATCTCAGCTCACTGCAGCTTTGACCTCGTGGGCTCAAGTGATCCTCCCATCTCAGCCTCCCGAGTAGCTGGAACGACAGGCATGTGCCACCACCTTGGGCTAATTTTTTGTAGCAGTGGGGTTTTGCCATGTTGCCCAGGTTGGTCTTGAACTCCTCAGCTCAAGTGATCCTCCTGCCTTGGCCTGGATGACTCCCCCTTTAATACTATCTACTTATTGACATTTCATTGTTATTTTTAATGCCCACAGTTTAGATTTGGTGTTATTTAACGTGTTCTTTTATATTCTGCACTTCCTAACTGGTAGGTAAATCTAGAGGCTTATTTAACTTTAGGTTCAATTTCTTTGGCAAGACTATGTCAGAGGTAGTGCTGTGTGCGCCTTCCTGTGTCACATCAGAAGGCACAGAGGTCTGGTTGTCTCTCTTTTTGTGATCATCAGTCTTTTTTTCTTTCTTTTTTTTGAGTTGGCATTTCACTCTTGTTGCCTAGCCTGGAGTCCACTGGTGCCATCTTGGCTCCCTGCAACCTC